CCCTGCAAATACACAAAAAATATTTTTCACATCCATTGAAGAGATCTTTCTTATATCGGTCGAGAAAACTTTAGATGAAAAATGAGAAATTTACATACATTTTTATGTCTTTTATCTGACACCTAATAATTAACGGAATACATATTTATCAAGGGTACAAGCCTTGTTTAAAATCCTTGCCTATTTAGAAACGCCAGAGTATTTATATTAGCTCATGTGCAGGAGTTTCCTTTCATTCCTTTTCTTTTCTTTCCTTTCCTCGCTCTTCTCTACTTTCTATCTGTCTTTCTTTCTTGTCTTTCTGTTTACCTTTGTTTTAGATATAGGCCATAAAAAAACTTTGCTTCCAAACAACATCATAAAAACAAAACGACTTTAGAATTAAAGACATTGTTTTATAGCCTCAAACTTAGAGATAATCCGTTTTTTTTTTCTTCATACCACCTGCTGTTTGAAATTTCACCGGATGAAAAAGATATAGTACCCAAGGAGCCTTGCTTCCCATTTCTTAGTCCTTTCTTCTGTTTTTCTGGATACTATTTTTACAGTGTTTTAGAAGTGTTTTAGATTTTTTGAAACTTTCTTTAGCCAGTGAATAGCTGCTCGAGTTATCGCGGTAAATTGATTATGAAACGAGTCTTTTAGATATCACAYGCTCAACCAAAATGCAACATTAAACTACTGATGAATTTAATCCAAAATAGCCATTTTTGTAGACAATACTTCGCTTTACTTTTGCCTGTCATTCAGCCGTTGCTAAATGCATCATTCGTTGGAAACACGTTTTATCATGACTTTATTGAGCTCAAAATTAGCTATCACAGATTTGTTAGGATACAGAAAATTATTTCATCATGCGGGAATCAAAGGTTACTTCGACATTCTTCACAAGCTCGTCACACGATCATGTATAACCTCTTGTTCTGTCGTATGCAACAGGTTTTGCTTGGTTGTGGTACGCAGCCTAAACAAATTTCCCCGGTGCCGCTTTTCTCTACAAACACGACAGCAAGTGATATCCAAACACAACTGCCTCACCTTCAACGATCCAAAAATAAATGGATCGATTGCACTGTTTAAGTACATAAGTACGTTACTAAATGTTACAAGCTTTGTGAAATGTTTGTTGGTGTAACCCGAACCAAAATCATGCCACAGCCAACAGAGATGTGTRGGTAGCATACAGACCGCAAAGRCAACTCCGGCAGACATAAAGATCTTGACAACTTTCATGTTGCGTTGTACTMTGGAGATCATCAYACTCCGCATATGTGCACTTCTATTACATGTCGATTCAAAACACTCCATAATTTGTTTTCTTGAGTCTTGGTTCAAGTTCCGTATTACAAGTGTGTAAGAAATGGTTATTATTAGAAGAGGGATAATATATAGGACAAGGAATACAGATACTGTATATACTTTACGGTAGAATTCCAAGGGCCATTTCTCAATGCATTGGTTATTTTCAAGGCGTAGAACCATCATATATGGTAAAATCAGAAGACTAGATATACCCCAAGTTACAATAATCGTACAAATAGCTATCTTTGAGTTTATTCGTCGTTTAAAAGGTGTTACAATCAAACGATACCTCTCGTAACTCATTTCCAATAACGTCATAACAGATACCGCCATAAGAACAGTCTGAAAAGGATATGCAACGCTGCACATAAACTTGCCAAAAGGAAACCTCCTCAAAGCTAGTTCTACTAAATCCAGCGGAACGCTTACCACACAAGCTCCAAGATCAGTAACACAGAGATTCAAAATCAGATATTCGCTAACTTTTCTTTTCCGTTGGCTGAGGATGACTTTGAATACAAGTATGTTCCCGAATGTTCCAATTACTCCAATGGCAACGTGAAATAGAAA